TTCGATACGGTATCCCACCCCATACTGGTGAACAAGTTAAGAGGCTGTGACTTGGATGACTACACAGTCCGGTGGGTGGCGAATTGGCCAGAGGGTCGCACCCAGGGAGTCGTGGTGGATGGGTCAGTTTCAACCTGAAAGGGTGTGGGCAGTGGGGTCCTGCAGGGCTCAGTCCTTGGACCGATACTCTTCAATGTCTTCATCAGCGACTTGGAAAAGGGAGTGAAGTGTACTGTCCCACACTTTGCTGCTCCTGCAGGGCCTGTGCAGCACAGGGTTTGGCCCACCTGGTGGGGGTATTCTTACCTGTCTCTGGCCAGAAATTCCTGCCACAGTTGGCTGTGACTGCTGGGCCATGTTTTTCCAGGCTGTGGCATAAAAACATTGGGAACCCCTGAACTACAGTATTCATTAATTTGATTTCAAAAACATATTTTTGTCCTGATTTACCTGTGTTTGCATAGTGTACATATAGGTGATTGCACAATAGCTTAAAATGAAGTCTTACTCTTGTATGTTGTTGGGGGTGAGTATAGATTTGTGGGAGGCTGTGATTATGTGGGGTGAGAGAGCCTGTGGGTTTGTGTGGGGATATGTGGAGTGTGGGTGGGTATGGTGTTTGTGGGGGGGATGGGGGCCTGGGGTGTGTGAGGGGATGTGGGATGTCTGTGTGTATGGCAGTGCAAGGGGGTGTGGGTGCATGTGTATGGTGGGGTGTGTGTGTGGGACTCAGCCTATGAACACACACACACACACACACTCTGCCCCTGCCTACACACACACGCATGCGCGCACGCACACACACACACACACACACACACACACACACACACACACACTCTGCCTGCCTCCATGCATGCACACATACACACATCTCTGTACCGGCATGGCCTCATGGTCCCCGGTTCAGGGATGCAGCCAGCAGACCACGGTGCTAGAGCAGGGCGCGGGCAGGAAGGGAGTGAAATGGCTGGGGGTGGGCGGGGCTAGGCTGTTCAGTCCTGCTGAGGCTTCCCTGGGTCCTGGCTCCTGTCAGCTTTGACAGGCTGCCAGGGCAGATAAATATTAATTTTCTAAAATTTTTAGGTGCCCCGCAGGCCGGATAGAATGGCCTGGCGGACTGAGCCATATTTTGCCCACCCCTGCCCTATAATAGCTTTTATCAAAGGACCTTATGAAGATGAACTTGTACTATCCTAGATTTACAAATAGAGCAAAAAAAAGAGGTGAAAGGAGGGAGAATTTTCAAAGAGGCTTGACTCCTATAATCTTTCAGTAAGTTCAGCACCAACCTATTAATTGTACCTTTGAACATTATCAGCAAGGGATTAAAATCTACAGCTCCCGTCTCCCAGCCATAGGAGCAAACATTGTTACTTTTTTCAGGATTTGCCCAGACACCCCAACTTTTCCAGAAAGCAGTGTGGAATCTATACTGACCACTGATTTACCTCTCATCTGAAAATCCCTTCGGTCAATAGCATAGTATCCCTACTTCATGCTGTTGGTTTAATGAGCTTTTCTGTGCTTTTCTGAATGGAAATAGAAATGCATAATGGGTGCTTAAAGAGAAGTGTGCGCTTTGTGGAACTGGATCCTTAGATATGAAGTTGCAAGAAAATATAACCAATCATGTCAAGTCAGTACATCAGTTCATATTAGAGCACCTGAGACTTGCTCCTGCTGCAGTTACAGAAAACCTCCATTAGATGGCACATGGACATAAACTATGATTCAGATTAATCTTAGTTACAGTAATTATATGTTCCTTAGATGAATGTTCTCAATCCTTACAGTTCTTAAGAACTGAGTAAGAATCCCTTGCATTCAAAAGCTTGTCTAACTCTGTCCCAACCATGCAGGTGGTCCATTAAAATATATGACCCAAAGAAATCCTTGCCTCTTGCAAAATTCCTGGACCATCACAGCTACAATATCACTAACACTACAATTCTTAGGGCACTGAGGTGCTGTCCTTTCACTGCAAATGACTCAGGTACTGCATTTACCATCTTCATATGCTTATGGCAGCATCTGATGATGGAAGCTCTCTGCTAACAAAAGCTTATACTATACATCTCTGATTAAGTTAATCTACAAGGTATAAATTCAAGGCGCACCAATACATCACTCCAATATTGGATCAGCACCGATATAAAGAAAATTGTCTGTATCAGAAATCGGCTTGACGTGGCCAATAATGTGGCTGCACGTAGGCAGCTTGGAGAGCTATGTGCAGCTGGTAAGTCTGTTGTGGTAGCAGAGAAGGGGGGAGGCAAAGGGGGTGGGAGGGGCAGATCAAGGCCCCTGTGGTAAGGGAGAGAGTGGGGCTGGGGTAGGCGCTGCCCATCTGGAGCAGGGCAAAGCACGTGACAGAGCCATGGTTCATCTGGGGGGTACTGGGAGGGAGGGGCTCTCACTACTGTGCGCAGCCCAGGAGGGCATGGGGGATACCCACAGATCTGCATGAGGCAGGGCAGGCTGCCGCTGGGGCTAAGGCTGGGGCAGCGCCAGGCTCTTCTTGGCAAGGGCTGGGGTGGGCTGTGCTCGGGGCGAGTGGCGGTGCTAGGAGGGGGGGTTGGGGGGGGACTATGGCAAATTTTGGGGTGGCTACAGGCCCCCCCATAACCTCCTCCCAGCACTGCCTCCACCTGCCCCAAACAGGATCTGGCCCAGCCCCCTCCAGGAAGAGCCCAGCACTGCCCTGGCCCCAGCCCGCAGTGGCAGGCCCCCCCCCCCCTGCAGATCTGGGGGCACATGTCCCCCTGTGCCCTCCTGGGCTGTGTGCAGCAGCGGTAGCTGCTCCCCCCTGCCCCCAAGCACACAAAAACATGCAGCAATTCATTCATACAGTCCTCTGTCTAGGGACATATATGGTACACACTTTGTCCATGATCCCTGCCCCCAGGGAAGGTAATTATATGCTTATAGCTAAGGTCAAAGAAGCAGTTCTCATAGATGAGATCTTCAGCTGGTGTACATTGACAAAGACTTCCAGAGAGGCTCTTGCATAATATGGTTAAAAATTGATACTGTGCATGATTCAGTATCTGAGAATATTAACACCAGGTTCTTCAATGTTTCATCTATGAGCATTCTAAGTCATGCATCACATGGTTTGCTTAGCGGTGTATAACTGTAAAAACATGACAGGCTGAAAATGTCTGAATCTATAGCATATTCATCCAAGTTCAAGGGTAACAGATCTGATCAGGGGTATGGAACAGCTGCCATGCCAGGACTGACTGAAAAAGGTAGGACTCTTCAGTTTGGAAAAGAAAAGGCTGAGGGAGGAGCAGGGGTCAGCACTGTTTTTGGGCAGAGTGCCAAACACACCTGCAACTTCAACCTGTAAGATGTTAGTGTGCCAGGACTGACAACGGAGGAGCTGCAAGGGGCCCCATCCTCCTCCCCACTGTCCACCCGAGGTGCACCCGCCGCCAGCAGTGAGCTGGGCCAGGGCTCTGCAGACCCCAGTGCAGCTGCTTGCAGCCTCTAGGCTGCCTGCCACAGATGGTGGGGAAGCTGCAAGCAGCTGCACCGGGGTCCACGAAACCCCTACCCAGCTTGTTGCTAGGGTGGGTGCATGCGTACTTTGGGGCGGACGGTGGGGAAGGGCCTGGGGCTGCAATGCCACAAAGATCAGGCCACGCGCAGTTGCCCTGCCATCTGCCTCAAGGCACGCGTGCCAAGCAAAATGCCTTCACATGCTATGTTCTGGAGTGCATGCTAGGGGTTGCCTACCCCTGTGACAGAGGTCTATAAAAACACACGCTACATGAGTCAGGTATACCTATCCCACAGGCGCTGGAGTCTGCCGTCGATGGCCAGTCGAGGCTTCTTTCAGCGTGGTGTTATCCTCCAGAAGGGGGTCGCTGGCTGGTCCTTCTGGCTGGACAGGTTGGGTGCTGGTCAAGTTGGAGATCAAGAGGGTGCCACCGAGGGTCACTTTTCACTGGTTTTTTCTGTCCTTGGCAGACTTTGGTGACTCCCCAGTTTTCAGGTTTGCCCAATCCAGGGGTCATTGACCCTCGTGGGACTTCCCCCTCAGTGACTACTGGATGGCATCTGTCAGCCCCAGGGGTTGTCCGCATGTACGTGCGGGTTTGGGAGTCCATTGATGAATTTTGAATAGGGCTCTGGGAGCGGTCGATCTAGAGATATTCAGCCCAAAAGTTGGTCCCCAGCATTAACTCAGACCAGGGCTTCTAGACCTTGAACAGTAAAGTTTAGAGAATTCCTGGTTGCTACATTGTCTCCTATTGATTTCTTCCCTTGGTTGATCTGCGGTTTCCCTAGGTGTTAATTGCCGTCTGCTACTGTGTTACGCATTCAATCACTGAATCACTCGCTCTTTCAGGGGCCCGCCTGATACAGGGAAGTGGCAGTTTGATTCCTGCCCTTGTTAACGTTGTTACAATGTATAACTTACTTCTGAAACTAAACACATTTAATTAAAAGGTGAGGAGTATAAAATATAAGCTACAAGAGTAATGCTATGGCACACAAATAGATAAAAATACCAAAATACAAGGGGAGATACAAAATGCACACATACAAACTTTAAAACACAATTCCTTATCTTATAGTGAAAGAAAGAGGAAGGAAGAAAAGGTAGAAGAGGAGAAATATATCCAAAGAGGGGAGAGCAACTGCAGGCAAGAGGAAAAGGGGGCTTTCTGCTACAAGCGGTGGTGCCTGCAGAGATGCATTAGCATCGTCGTGGTGCTCATGTGTTTCATTCCCTTGCCCTGACTCGTGTTGGCTTGGCAGTGCAGGCAGATAGCATATGTGGGACCATTTGCCACCTCAAAATGATCCAAGACAACATGACCCCCTCACTTCTGGGGTGCGGGTGCCGCCTTTTCCTGCTCCTCAGCAGGCAGGGCACAGCAACAGGAGGAGTGGAATCAGCTGAGCCACTTGCCTCCAGAACCTCTACCTCAACCTCCTCTGAAGTGCCTTCTGAGGAAGAAGACCTGGCTTGAGGGGTGTGGAGCACAAACTACAATGATTCCCTCTCCTACCCCAGAATTTCCTTCACTATGGCACTTAGATGCAGCTCCAGCTCTTCCTTCAGATCTTTCTCTGGCACTGGAAGGCTCAGGTTGGGAAGTGAAATGTGGGTGGAGGAGACTGTCATGGTGGTGGTGCAGAGGCTATGGCTGGTGCTACTGGAGGGGATGCAGACTCAGGCAGTGGCACTGCTCCCCTCTCCTTATCTGTGTCTCCTGGCACCTGCCCTCTATATTGCTTGTGCACATGTTGCCAGTACCCCCTGTGGCGGGCCAGTAGGGGGCGCTCCTGCATTGAGCCACCCACCTCCCTGTGCCTGACCACCTTCCAGGCTCCGAGTGCCTCCCTGGGGGTGCCTGACATCTGGCCAATCCGCTTCCTGGAGCATACCCACTAGCCTGGGGGTTCCACTGCCAGCACCCAGGGCTCTGAGCTGATTCTGGCTCTGCGCACCCTGGGAAACACAGGTCTAGTAGCCCTCAAGGGTACTTGATTCACTTCAAGAAGTTGGGATGCTTCCCTCAGTAAGAAGCACAAGTAGTGGTCTCCCTTAGTCAGCCAAACCAAGGGGCCCCCCGCCAAGGCATAATCTAGACCCACTCCCAATTAGTCTCCCACAAATAGGTACAAAGGAGAACTTTATTGGTTACAGAGGGCAGGGTTAGAATAGGGTACAGGGTAAAGCAATATCAGAGAAAACCCACTGAGCAAACTCCCCTGGCTGGGTAGCCTTTGATCACGCAACTGAGTTATTGCAAGCTAAATATCTAGTTAGATCTCAGGTA